GCCGGTCGGGACCCGCGCGGCTTCCTCCGGCAGCGAAGTCCCAGCAGCTCCGGAAGTGCTCGGTGGAGTGGCGTCACTTCCGGCTCGAGGTCGCCCTGCGGTCGGCGCGGGTCGCCGCTGGGACGGGAGTCACAGCCCGGGGGCTGGTAGCTCGGCGTCGCCCGGCGCTCTGGTCTACCGGCCTGCCAGGCCACGTCCGGCGCTGACCGCTGTCGGTGACCTCAGGGGTGGTCCACACCGCCTCGCGCCTCCGGCCGCCCACCATGGCCGTCCGCCGGGGTATTTTTAACCGTCGCGTTTCCGAGCTGCTTCTCATTCCTAAGGCGACACTCTAGCGTCCGGCAGGGAGATGACAGCCTGGCGTCGGTAGAGTGGGTCAAGGAACGTCGTGTCCAGCTGTCTACTCGGAAAGGAGCTGAGTATTCAGATCTGCGCCGCCGAGCCGCGAATCCCCGCCTCGCCTCTGACGCTGCCTCCCAGGCCCCCCGAACGCCCGCTGCCCGGCACTCGCCCACCCGCCCGCCCGCCGGGGCTGCCCAGCGCGCCGACTCCCCCCTCCACGGTGGAATGGGGACGTTCAGGCGGCAGTTGGCTCTGTCTAATCATTTTCACGGTGTGGGGACTGTCATTATGACTTCCAAAATCCTATAGGGCACTTTGCGAAGTGTTAAGGGTGGCTAGAGCTACGGGCATTTGAGCCGAGATGCTGCTGCCAGACAGTGGGATGCTGAGATGCCAGGATACCTCCTGGCTATGCAGATCCCAAACCATTTCTTTCCCATCCAGGCGTGGTGTGTATTGCTGACTGTTAAGCTAGCTAAGAGCAATGAGTTCACTTAGATTTTGCAAGAAATACGAGGAGGGTTCCAAAAGTGCATGGGGGAAAAAAATTCCATTATCTTCTAATTCCATTTCTCCACGAACTTTTTGAAGCCCCTGGCGTTTATGTATACAGTATGTGTATTTCAGCCTCCAGTTTAATTCTGAACATGTACCTCAATCAGATAAAACAAAAACGTTCATTTGAAATGAAAATTCACAGTAAGGAGTAAGCTTGTAGGGTTACGATTTTGTACTTAGTAAAGTGTAAGTCTGTTGACTATATATAACCCAATGTACTTGTCTCAACTGTTGTGACAAAATACAGCCATTTAAATTCTTTATGATAATGTTAGAGTAGAATCTCAAGTAGAATCTCTCACTTTGGGTTGCTGAGCATAAATCCTCCAGCGAATGGAATGGGAAGTCTTTCTGTAGAATTCTTGCATTTGTAAAAGAGGGACCGAGGGCGCTCACATATTCAATCCACCCATTCACATACTGTGTTTTGGAACCCTTAGGCTCTGCATTATCTTTATTTGTTCACCCATTTATCTAGGGGTCAGTATCTTTTTTGGGGGGGGGTCAGTTTCTTAAGGGCATAGATTCAACCTTGTTTTCAATATTTAGTATTAAACGTTTATCGGTTGGTGATAATAACGGTATTTTTTAGTATCATTTGTTCTTAGTAGTAATTTCTCCCCAGAAAAACAAAGATCTTGAAATTAACCAAAAAATTAAGGATATGCATAAAAATATATGCTTATATGTGTGCACTGAAGTGCTAATTCTAGTAGGAAAACTACTGCAGCATCCTAAATGTCCAAAATGAGAGACTTTGTTAAATAAATTACGATAAGAACATACAGTGAAGGGGGAAAAAAAGAGTACACAGTGAAGAAAGTCATTAAATGATGCTGCACTAAGGCACCTATAGGAGTCCTGGTGTCTTAGTGGTTTTGCATAGGGCTGCTAATTGCAAAGTCAGCGATTTGAAATCACCAGGCGCTCCCTAGCAGTGATCATGAGTGTGAGTGAAAACCTCTACTGACAAGGAAAGTAGTTTGAAGTGTTTGTTCTATAATGCTTTTGCAAAAATACTACCCTCTCACTAGAAGACCAAGGACCTGAAGCTACACATTGGATCTTAGCAAAGCACACCTCTGCTTGCACCCCTGGTAACTATTCAGGCATGTGAAGCTAGTCCGTTCTTGTCTGTCACAGGAAAATAGGAAACAACAGACTATGTTTCTATTAATACTGCCGTAGTACCCTCCAACACCTGCTGTCAGTTTATCATGCTCTGGTGACTTGCAGATGGCTGTGTTGCTGGAAGCTATGTCATTGTTATTTCAGATACTAGCAGAGTCATCCAAGGTGGACAGGCTTCCAGGATAAGACTAGAAAGAAAGGCCTGGCAATCTACTTGCAAAACTCAGTCCATGGAGGCCGGAGGGACCACAGTCACATGAATACACCGGCTCCCTTGCCTTGGACATGTCATCAGGAAGGATCAACCCCCAGGACATCATGTTTGGTCAAGTAGGTGGCCAGCTAGACTGAAGAAGACCATGCCACAAGAACCACAAGAACGGACTCAAATCGACCAGCAGTCTTGCGAGAGGATTTCAGCCCTTGTAACATTTCAGAATCATCTCAAAGCAGCTTACCTCAATTTTTTTTTAACCTGAATAATAGTTCAGCCTTTTCTTGTCTTTTTTACCTAATAGAAGGTACTGTTCTCGTGACATGGATTGAATTGCGTTGATTTATTTATTTTTTGGTATAAATCCTAACCCCTATGCCTGTGATTAGGAACCCTGGTGGCATTGTGGTGATGCTGTGGGTTGCAATCTACAAAGTCGGCAGTGGAAATCACCAGTGAGTCTGCAGGAGAAAGATGGGGCTTTCTACTCCGATAAGCAGTTAGTTATGTTCTCAGAAACTCTCAAGGGCAATTCGACCTTGTCTGATAGGGTGACTATGCATCGATATCATCTCGATGGCAGTGAATTTTTGATCCCTGTGTTTAAGATCCCTGGTGGTGCAGTAGTTAAGCGCACAGCCACTAACCAGGTCAGTAGTTTGAAACCACCTTCTGTTTCATGAGAGATTTGGTAGTTGGCTTCTATAAAGATGATAGCCTTGCAAACCCTCTGGCGGAGTTCTACTCTGTCTCCCAGGGGGGCTATGAGTCAAACCAACTTGAGGACAATAGGGCTTGGTTATGCCTCTGGTTATAAGCCTATTTGAGAATGGATTGTCTTTGCTAATGAGGCCATATTAGTGTAGCATGTGTCTTGAGTCAATTTATTTTCAGCTATAAAAGGAGCAGCTGAAGGAAGCAGAGATGGGAGAAGAGATGCTGCCACCATATGGAGACAGTAGGCCACAACAAGACCCTTCCCCCAGAGCTAATAGAGAAAGTCTTCCTACAGCTGAGACCCTGAATTCAGACTTCTAGTGTCCCAAACCGTGAGAAAATTTATTTCTGTTTATTAAAGGACCCCCCCCACTTGTAATCTTTCTGTTATAGCCGCACTGGATAAGACATCTTCCATTTCACAAATGAGCAAATCGAGGCACACAAAGGTAAGATGCCTTGTCCAAAGTCACAAAGCCAGGAAGTGACTTAGCTGATATTCTAGACCTGGCCATCCAGTGCCAGAGCCTACCCCCTTTCCACAGAGCTATGCACCTTCTCATTATCTATCCCATAGTATGAATGTATTGTCATCGTTTTTTTTTACCACATACCTATTCCAAGGCATCTGTTCTCACGCTTGTAATTTCACATCCTTGAATGTAATCTTTGTGCATCAGTGTGAAAAATATACTAGGTGCATTCCTAGAGATGGTGAGTCAACTACTATGTTCATTTGCATGGTAATATATAAAATGGCAAATAACTATCGAAATACCTCCGGTTCCTTTAGCCAGGCTACAGGTTAGCCACCATGTTTTAGATATCGTAGTGATATTAGAGGAACAGTCAAGAATCAACTACTATGTTCATTTGCATGGTAATATATAAAATGGCAAATAACTATCAAAATACCTCCGGTTCCTTTAGCCAGGCTACAGGTTAGCCACCATGTTTTAGATATCGTAGTGATATTAGAGGAACAGTCAAGAATCTCTAGTCTAGTAAAGGATTCAGCAATTAACAAAATAGTTTTTTTTTAAATAAGTGTGAAATTGCCACAGTAATGAATGCTATACAGGGGACCCAGGGGGGCTGCCCTGTCCCAGGCCTCTGCTCCATCGAACTCACTCCCTAGTGAGCTCACCCAGATCCCTTAGCTTTAGTACTTCTCCTATGCTGACATCTATATTTTTATTCCCAGCCTTACTCAACCCCTGAACTCCACAGTCAATATAGTCAGTCGTCAGTCCAACGCCTTCACTTGAATGCCATATTGGCATGCAAAATTTACATGTCTGAAAACAACCTTCTTG